GAATAGAATAGAGAGCCCAGAAATCGGCCCGAACCAATATGCTCAATTAATATTTGACAAAGGAGGCAAGAACATACAATGGAGTCAAGATAGTCTCTTCAATAAATGGTGTTGGGGAAATTGGACAGATACATGCAAGAAAATGAAACTAGACCACCAACTTACACCATACACAAAAATAAACTCAAAATGGATAAAGGACTTAAATGTACGACGGGAGACCATAAAAATTCTAGAAGAATCCAAAGGCAACAAAATCTCAAACATATGCCGAAGCAATTTCTTCACCGATACAGATCCTAGGGCATTGGAAACTAAAGAGAAAATAAACAAATGGGACTACATCAAAATAAAAAGCTTTTGCACAGCAAAAGAAACCATCAACAAAACAACAACAAAGCCCACTTCATTGGAAAACATATTTGCCAATGCCATATCTGATAAGGGCCTAATCTCAAAAATTTATAGGGAACTCATACAACTTAACAAAAGGAAGATAAACAATCCAATCAAAAAATGGGCAAAGGATCTAAATAGACACTTTTCAAAAGAGGACATTCAGAAAGCCAAGAGACATATGAAAACATGCGCAAAGTCACTAATCATCTGAGAGCTGCAAATCAAAACAACAATGAGGTACCATCTCACACCTGTCAGAATGGCTATCATCAAAAAATCCACAAACGACAAGTGCTGGAGAGGATGTGGAGAAAAAGGAACACTCGTGCACTGCTTGTGGGAATGCAGACTGGTGCAGCCAATATGGAAGACAGTATGGAGTTTCCTCAAAAAACTAAAAATGGAACTCCCATTTGACCCTGTGATCTCACTTCTAGGACTATATCCCAAGAAACCAGAAACACCAATCAGAAAGGATATATGCATCCCTATGTTCATAGCAGCACAATTTACAATAGCTAAGATCTGGAAACAGCCTAAGTGCCCATCAGTAGATGAATGGATTAGAAAACGGTGGTACATCTACACGATGGAATACTTTGCTGCTGTAAAAAAGAAGGAACTCTTACCATTTGCAATGGCATGGATGGAACTGAAGAGCATTAGGCTACTTGAAATAAGCCAGTCAATGAAGGAAAAACACCACATGATCTCACTCACTCATGGATAATAAAGACCATTATAACTTATGAACAAAAATAGATACAGAGGCAGAGCTGCCTCGAACAGACTGTCAAACTACAGCGGGGAAGCCAGGGAGGGTTGAGGGGCGGGAGGGGAGGGGGAAAGAGATCAACCGAAGGATTGTATGCATGCATATAAGCATAACCAATGGACATAAGACACTGGTGGGTAGGGGAGGCCGGGGGATTTTTAAGGGCGGGAAAAAAAGGAGACATATGTAATACTCTTTGTAATACTTTAAGCAATAAAACAATTTAAAAAAATAAAATAAAAAGTTTGAGGACCCCTGCCTTAGTCTGAAGGGCCCTCACTTAGTTTAATTCTCTGTTGTCACCATCTTCAAATTCTTCTTCCTTTTTGTAATCCTCATCTGAGGACATTCTTAGAGAGAGGAAGAGAGAGACAGAGAGAGAGAGAGAGGGAGAGAACATCAATGTGAGAGAGAAACATCAATTGGTTGCTTCCCATATGTGCCCCAACTGGGGATGGAACCTGCAACCTGGATATGTGCCCTGACCAAGAATCTAACCGGCCACCTTTCAGTGCAGGGGACGATGCTCCAACCAACTGAGCCACACCACCCGGTGCCACCTTCAAATTCTTAACTTTTGAACCAGGGGCCTGGCCTGCAGTTTCATTTGGGGCCACAAGTTATGTCGCTGGTCCGGGTGGGCAGTTGTCCGCAGCAGGCCAGGCTGCTGGCTTGGATGGAAGCTGAGACTTATCTCCCACTAGGAAGGACAGGTGGCTGATTCTGGAAGGTGTGTAAGTCCACAAGGAGGATTTGGGGCACCCAGAGGCCAAGGGGGATGACAATGGAGGCTTGGTCCCCAGGGAACCTGGAGGGTTAGGCAGAGGTCACCAGCACAGACTCCACGAGTCAACTCCAAGCCCCAGACTTCGTGGTTGTCACCCCTGTAACTGTGGTTCTCCAGCTGTAGAGACCTTGTCGCATCTCTGCTGCCCTCAGGCCCTGTGAGGGCTGGCAGGTTGCTGTCAAGAATTCCTGGTCCCTTGGCTGGCCAGCTGGGCCACCCCGTGTAGCTGGACTTGGTTTTCTCCAGGGAACCTATGTTTTCAGAGGACCAGTCAGACTGGCCATGAGGATTCTGGGGTCTCCCTATCTTGAGTCAGGGTCAGGGCTTGGGTGGGGACATCTGCTAGTCTCCCTTCTTCCCCCCGAGGAGAGCCTGAGGATAGAGCCACCTTCAGGGCCCGGGATGCTGCACACTCGAGAATGCTGGGGTCACACTCGGGCTCTAGGTCAGACCAGACTTCCAGTGTGGAAAATGAGATGACCGTCTGGGGACAGCTCTCTCAGTGTCACTGCCCTGTCTCTCTGGCCTGTCTCCCCAGCGTGACCTAGACTTCTGAGGATGGGACTCTAGCTTCCTCGTCTTTGTCTCCCTTTGTATCCTGGGTTTGCATCAGGCTTAAAGCAAGGAGAAGCAAGGAGAGAAATGCTGGTAAGTAGACTCCCGGGACTAGCCGGGAAGGAGGTGGGAAATTGGTTGCCTGCGAGGACCACCAGGGACCGGATCTCATGAGAGGGAGAAGTGAACGCTCTGGGATTCTTGGGCTCCTTTCTGAGGGGCAAGGCTCAGGTTCTCTTGCCATCTCATTAGGGGGGAGACAGTGCGGTCATAGCCAAGGGAGCAGCCAAAATCATGATTAGGGCCAAGGGACAAGAAAGGGACAGGGTGGGGAAAGGCAGGGTGTGAGGAGTAGGTGTACTTTGGAATGTGCATTTCCTAAGCTGTGGGTCAGTCCCTCAGTCCCTCAACAAGCACGGCTAAGTGCAGCCTGGGAAAGGCACTGAGATGTAGGAGCAGATGGGCCTTTGAGAGGAGCTTAGTTATGAGGGAGGAGCTTCCAGGGCAGGACTCGAGCTCTCAGAGACGCCACCCAGCCCCGCACTTCTTCAGACAGGTGAGGACAGACAGAGGTCAGCAGTCTGCAGGCCAGAAGAGGGCCTTCATGTGACTTTGCTGGTATCTTGATCTTGGATCTCCAGCCTCCAGAGCTGTGAGCAATAGACTTCTGCTCCGAAGCCCCCAGCCTGTGGCATTTTGTTATAGCTGCCTGAAGGGACTAAGAGGACAGGCAGCCACTTTCCTAGAATTTCTATAAATCAATGTAAACACGTGTGTAGACTTATCAGTCAATATACATCCTCCTCTCTTATGTGGAAGTTGGCACGCTGTAGAGATTGTTCTATACCCGTGCTCTTTTCTTCCTTAGGTTTCCCACCCCCCAGCCGCCATTGGTACAGAGAACGTGCTCCTTGCACTGTGTGGACGTGCCATAGTTTATTCAGACCTGCAAGCTCTCTCCCATAGGTGAATGTTTGGGTTGTTTCCAGACGTTGCTATGACAAACAGCTCTGCAGTGAGTCACTGTGTACACACTTTTTTCTGTGTTTGTGAGCAGATCTCTGGGATAAACCGCTAGACATTGGATCACTGTGTCCAAGGGTAAAGGTGTTGGCAATTTTGCTAGATTTTCCCCAAAGCGTCTCCCTACAGTTGTGCTAATTAGCCCGCCCCTTGGTGACGTAGGGGAGTTCCCCCCACAGACTCCCAAGAGGGAGCTGTCAGCCTCAGGCTTTTAAAACCAACGTGACAGGTAAAGTTTGTGTTTCAGTGGCTGTCATGTGCCTTCGTAATGGAGGTCTTTTCTGGGATAGAGTAGACCAAGGTGAATGGAGGCCATGGGCAGGGGTGTGTCTCACCCGCTGGGCCCCCCACAAGAAGCAGCACTTGGAGCTGAGCCCTGGAGGGTTTATTATCCGTCCCTGTGTGGGGTGGGGTACTCGGGCTTTTAGTGAGGAGTTAGCTGGGGCAGGAATGTCCCAAATAAGATTGTATTTTTATTTAATTTTATTTTTATTTTTAAATATATTTCTTTATTGATTTCAGAGAGGAAGGAAGAGGGGGAGAGAGATAGAAACATCAATGATGAGAGAGAATCATTGATTGGCTGCCTCCTGCACACCCCCCTACTGGGGATCAAGTCCTGAACCTGGGCATGTGCCCTTGGCCGGAATCGAACCTGGGACCCTTCAGTCCACAGGCTGATGCTCTATCCACTGAGCCAAACTGGTTAGGGCAAGTTTCTATTTTTATATATTTAAGGCCCGTCACCTATGTCGAGGTGCGGGGGGTTCCCATAAAGGTGCTGCTCCTAAGTGGGACATGCACAGGTGGTCTGGACCATCCGCCTGAGGCTTGCGCCAATACCTTCTGGTCAGACACTTTCACAGAGACAGCACTGAGATCTGAGCCGAGCCGGAGAAATTACACACAGACAAACAGGTTAGATGCAAGCACACAGGGGGTTTATTTACCAGTTCCTGATGGGTCTCAGACGCTAGAAAGGATCCACTGGCGATGCTCGCTGACACACACAAAGGGGTAGACGGCGTCGTTGGCTGCTGGCTCTTTTGTCGATCGACAGTTAATTGGGAAGAGTTTGGTGCTGGGAACCAAGACGTGAGCACACACAGGTCCTCACGCTCTGGCGACAGGAGAGCTATTCGCTGCTGGGTCCATCAAACTGTCTGATCTTATAGCCCTCTGTAGACGTGGTCTTCGTTGGTGTGTGTGTTATCAGCGGCTGCCATGTGTGGATCCACCCAGGGTCTGTTAATCTATGGGTGTGTACAGGCTTTGAGCTTTCCCATCAGATAGGCTGTTTATCAGTACTAAGCAGAGCTACAAGGGTGCATTCCTGGGTCCCACACAGCATTCCTATATCTAGCATTACTATAACAGTCCACACAGGGTTACATGCTTTAAGTCTTACATTCTAAGGTCCTAACATTAAGTACCATAATGATTACTTTAACAAGGGGCCCTTCACACAGGCCAGTAAGTGCCATTGTAGCTAAAGGGGGTAGGCTTCCAGCAGTCCCCGCCCTCCTCAGGGATCCATCGCTGCACGTAGTTGGGGCCTTTGTCCCGGGGCCGCACGATCACGGTGTCCCTGGATGCCACGGATGGGTCCTCGGGGAAGAAGTTGAAGGGCCGGAGCATGAAGCCCACAGAGTTCCCGGGGGTGGCCGTGTTGGGGATGTCCTCTGAGTGGGGGATGTGCAGGAAGCCCACTGTCACCCAGGCCACCAAGTCCTGTGGGAGAGAGGGGTGGGCAGTGCTGACGGGCTCGGAGAGGCGAGGGGTAGGCGACCCCTCAAGCTCTCCTCATAAGGAATGGGCAGATCTGGGGACACTGAGCTTGCTCTCCACACAGCGAGGTGCTGCTGGCACAGGCCCAGGGAGGGGGTGCAGCTCTAGTCTGGGGCTGGGGCTGGAAGAAGGCGGGGCCAGTACCTCTTCTTCAATGTTCTCATTGTTTTGAAGAAACTCCTCAAAGACCACAGGCGGGTCCCAGGGGTCGTTCTGGTTGTAGATGCTGCTGCTGCACCGCTCAGACTCCCGGTACTTGGTCACTGCCAGGGGGTACCTGCCGGGCAGAGCAGCCAGGTGGCTCTGGGCACGGGGGTGGCCCAGCCCCTCCCGGGGAACGTCTGCAGGGTCAATGACGTGGCTTTCCCGGATTTCCACATCATGTCTTGGGCGCCTGTCAGTCTGCCCCAGGGTCAGCGGGGAAACAAGGCTCGAGTAAGGAAATAGATTTGAAACTCGCAAGAACATTTAAACATGTTAACCACTCCCCTTGCTTTGCTTTGTGACACACACACACACACACGCACACTGCCATACAGACCCAGAGTCTCATAGACAGAAACACAGCCACCCCAGACACAGGGAAATGTAGGGAGAGGTTATAGAGTCAAGCCTCGGACTGACCTGTGGCAGAGCCACATACAAGTCTTCCTCCCAGCCGGGCGGCAGCACCTGCTCAGCCATGGAGTGGATCTGCAGCCGGTAGCTGCGCTTGTGGCCCCAGCGGTTCTCCTTGGGGCTGGTGAAGAGCAGGTACTTGGGCAAAGTCTGTCCGAAGGGGAAGGCCGCCTGGCGCTCACGGGAGTACTCTGTCTGCTCTAGGGTTGGCTGGACCAGCCTGTGCTCTGGGCTCCAGGGGTTGGTGATGTTTTCTAGCTTCATGCCCAGCGTCTGGAAGCTATTCTTGGTGCCTGTGGGTGTGAAGGGAGATGCAGAATGAGGATCCAGCACCCAAAGTACACCTTCCCCCATTTTACACTGGGTTCTCCACCCAGACCACGTCCAACAGCAAACCATCAGGGGCCAAGGGGGTGTCGTGGGTTCGCATGAAGCCAGCTGTGGGGTGGGAGGAAGGGATTAAACACGAAAACCTACAGGGGAACCAGAGGACGATGCGATAGCTCACCGCAGCGGCGGTCTTTGCAGTGGGTCTGTGGGCAGTTTCTTTGAGCCCTGGGTCCCAGGCTTTGGGCTGTCCTGCAGCCCAAGAGAGGGGCGGCCGTCTTTCCCCAGGCGGGGGCTGTGTCCACCACCTGCTGTGGCCAGGGCGTGGGAGGAGGGGGCTGAGCCGGGTGGGGAGGGCGGGGTTAGGACAGGGAGCCACCTGTCTGGTTCTGGGGGCGGTTCTGACTTGATGTCAGGCCACATCCTACCACGAGGCCTATGCCGCGGTGACACCATCAACCCAGGAGACACAGCGAGTAACCCCAATGGTGCTGCGTCCACCTCCAGGTGCCAGGCAGCAGCAACCTTGCTGACATCGAGGCATTGTCCTCTCTGCCACACTGAGCGCACCTTTCTACCCAACCCACCCTACCCAGGGGTCAGCGCAGCCCCAGGGCAGGACAGGGTCCAGGCTGCCACACCCTGGGCAGCACTGGGGCGCCGTTCACGTTCACCCCTTCCGGGGGCTCAGCGACTCCAGCCCTGCGGACTCAGAGCAGGTGGGGCAGGTTCTCCTGATGGTGTGCCTCAGGGGTCCAGCATCGTCTCCCACAGTGGGAGTTAGTGTTTGCACACAGAGGTCTGACCTGGGGACGTTTGTCGCCAGCGAGTCCTACCTGCCACATCCAGGTCTACGCGGTAGTGCACCAGGTGAGTGTGTATGTTGCCGATCAAGTGCGTGTGCAGGCGTGTTCCGTAGCGCAGCCCCTCGGGCGTGTAGAAGGTGGCGTGCACATAGCCAGTGGCGTGCATCTTGGCCTCCATCACCCCGTTGGGGTAGAAGATGAAGTCCCAAATGTAGTCATAGTTGTAGACCGTGGACGTCGTCCGCAGCACCAGCACCTGGCCCTGGAGCCCTGCATAGAAGTTGAAGCCACCGTTGGAGTCGGAGTCAAAGTGGCGCCGAAGGGGCACCCCCGTGGGCATCTCGAAGACACAGAGGGCTCGGGGGTAGTGAACAGGGTCATCGGCATCATAGTAGTGGACGGCATCCAGGAAGGTGGCTGTCTCTGGGCAGTCGATGCCGGGGGCCAACTCATGGGTGACGGTGCCCAAACCCCAGCCCACATCGATGTACTTGGTCTGCATGCCCGCAGGTGTGTGGCCTCCGTACAGCGCCACTGCGTCCTGGACGCTCACCTCATAGGCAATGCGCTCCCCACCGAAATGCACGTTCAGCACCTGCAGCCCCGTGGAGGACCGCAGCCTGAAGGCGAAGCTCCAGCCCCCGTAGAGCACAGCGTTGCCCTCCAGCCTGTAGCGGGGGCCTTGGGGCTGGACCAGGTGGGGGCCCTTCACGGTCATGGGGCTGGGGAAATGCCCACGTGGCTTGTAGGACGAGAAGAGGGGCGGCTCCTTCGTGCCCTTGGCCCCCTTGCCCTCGGGGAGCGGGTCCTCCAGGACCACCACGTCCACCTCTCCGGCATCGTACTTCCGGGCCAGCTCTTCTGGGCTTCGGTAGAACTTCCCATTGTACCAGACCTGCTCCACCGCCCAGTCCTGGGCATTCATGCTGCTGTGGTCCAGGAGGAGCTCCAGGCCTGTGGGGTGCAAGTAGAAGCCTTCCACAAAGCGCTGCAAGATGATCCAGGAGCGGCGCTCGCCCGAGGCCAAGCCCTGAGGGGCCACGTCGGTGAAAGTCAGGCATCGGGTGTGACAGTCCTGGAAGGAGAAGCCCGTGGTGTCCAGGAAAAATCGGTGCAAGGGCCTGGTGGCCTCCTGCAGGGTTTGGTTCAGTAGGACATACTCTGCCGAGGACATGGGCCTGGAGTTCCAGGATATCCGGTGCCCAGGCCTGGGGGGCAGCGGGCGCAGGTAGTGGGGCCTTGGCAGGGGACCCACGGCAAACTCGGTGACGTTGGGATGCTCCTGGGCTCCGAATAAGATGAGGGCACGCGCCTCCCGAGCCGGCCGCCTGTGACCCTGGTCCAGAAATTTCAGCACCTGCTGCTTCCTGGGCAGCAGCATCTCAATGAGGAACACGTAGTTCTTGGTGATGGTTGATCCTCTGGAGGGCTCCAGCCTCAGGTCCTTCCGGGACCAGAGGAAGTTGCGCACGGCCTTCACCTCCTGGATGCTCAGGTCCGCGAACACCCCGGCCTGGCTGCGCAGGGTCTTTGGGGAATGATTGCCCATGGCCAGCGCCTGCAGCATCAGGACAGCAGCCATGGCCCAGCCAAGGGCCGGGCTCTCTCGCCTCATGGCTCTAGAATGTGGGAAATGTGAACTTAGTTGTTTTATGGGAAGATATGGGTTTCCACTAGGCTGGCCCCGTAGTTTCCCAATAGACACAGCTTCATCCCTTGGCCGCCGTGCCAGCCAGTGGCCATGCTGGCGCAGCTGGGGCCCCAGGCTGCTCAGACCTGTGCTTTCCATTGATTTTAATTCTACACTCTCCTCGCTTGTCTATAAGCCTTGCTTAGTCCTGCAGATTTTCATACCTACGTCAACTCTGCTTTTCCCTTATCTGTGCATTATGTCAGAATGGCTGCACCTCTACTGCTGTGGGCTAAGACTAACAGTAATTAGCTTATCAATGTGATATTCAACAGGGCTGAAAATCAGGATAATATTGCCCTGCTGTGGGCCAAATGGCTCAAAGCAATTTTTACCCTGATAATCCTGTTACTGTTTACCAAGCTTTACCTTTGATATGCCTTATGCATTCCTAAAGGGCAAATGTGTGTTCCACTGAATAAAAGCAAATGGGACCCAGAAGTCAGAGAGCCTCTCCACTAGAGAAAGGTTTTCCGCCTGGCCCCCTATGTTTATAAATTCTTATTTCTTGTCTAGTGTATTCGTTTGTGCACGGCCCCTTTTCCAGATCCTGAACCCTAGCCGCAAATGGATGCGGCATTCACATCTGGTGACTTCTAAGGGACCAGGAGAAGATTCACCTGAGCGAAAAACTAAGAAAAAAGGAAATTCACCGGAAAGGTGGGAGGTTCACCGAAAAGGTGGGGAAATTCACTGTGCACAAAACCCATTGCAGCTTCAGAGTCATGAACCATAAGTGGATGAGGAACGTCTTTTGTTTCAGCCAGGCTATAATGGGGAAGAATTTGCGTAAAGGGCAAAAACATCATTGTAAAGTTTTAGCTTGCATGGTCAAGGATAAAGAAATTAAGGCGTCAAAGGATACTCTCTTAAATCAGGCTCAAGGAAAACAAGTTTCCTTGTCATCTTTAAGTATGTGTGCTCTTGTTCGAGCTGCATTATGCCCACTTCGTATTGAGCATCAAAATTCTGTAATACCTAAAGCCCTGGATCCTCTGCCTCTAGTGTGGAAGGACTCAACAGCTAGAGAAAATGGGGCTAATAATTATTCTACAAAAGGACTCTTTAATGCTTTGTCTGAAAATGACCATATGACACCTTGGGACAAGCAAATTTTAGCTAAAATAATTTTAGAGGCCAGTCAGTAGTATGGAGAGTAAAATAGGATAAGATCCATGAAAGGAACTCTGACTTAGTAATTATTGTCTATATGTTATGGGCGCTTGTCTGTTGATTGTTATCTGTCTCTGTTGTTTATTGTTAGTTTATTAAGCTTGCCTTTAATTTAATTTAATTTAATAGAAAAGAAACAGTAGATGGACAGGCCATTGCTAAATTTCCCCAAAGCGAAAAGAAGGTGGGAACGGGGAGAGGAAGAATATAAGCAGAACACCTGTTGATAACACAGATCCTAGGAAAATTCCCTAGACAAAGGGAAGTAACTAAAAAAGGCTCCTGCCCAGTCTTATGGTAATTCTGTAAAATGGACGCCCACTCTCAAGAGTGTTATTAAAAGTCTCATTTTTGCCATGTTTTTATTTCCCAGTCCATCATTTGAAATTTGAATAGATGAGACATTTCTCACAATTTAGGGATGCGTTTGGGATTTCTGTACCCATGAAGAGAAAAAAGCTAGCTTAAGAGAAGGTGCGCCCTGCCCGATTTTGGCTGGCCTCCTGGACTGAGCCCCATTTCTTCATGGATGCTACAGAATAAATCCAAGACTGTTTTTCTTTAAAAGATGGCAATAATGACAGAAAGAAAATATACAGGCTGTGTTTGGGCAACAAGATTAGTGTTTCCATAATAATGGGTAGTTCTTGGATAATAATGGACCGCATTCCAAGGTTGCCTCCCAAATCTTGGGGCACTCCTGTTTTTTCTTTTTTTAAAAGTATATTTTATTGACTTTTTATAGAGAGAAATGGAGAGGGATAGAGAGTTAGAAACATCAATGAGAGAGAAACATCGATCAGCTGCCTCCTGCACACACCCTACTGGGGATGTGCCCGCAACCAAGGTACATTCCCTTGACCAGAATCGAACCTGGGACCTTTCAGTCCGCAGGCCGACGCTCTATCCACTGAGGCAAACCGGTTAGAGCGGGGCACTCGTGTTTTTATAAAATAAAAATCAAATAATACTTTCACATTAAAGCCCCTGAAAGTCAATAAGTTATCTCTGTTACAGAATTTGCCAAAGAAAATGCCTTGGATAATAATAATTGGCTTTAAAATCTTAAAGTTATTAAAACATAAATAAATAGATGTAACTAAAATAAAGAATCCTATATAATAAAAGCCTAACATGCTAAGTGTCTGGTCATCCAGTGACCGGTGGACTGTTCAACCAATCAAAGTGTAATATGCTAATGATATACTAAGGTTGCTCAATCACTAGCTATGACAAGCAGTGACCACTGGGGGCAGACAGTCGACTGGTCGACCTGTTGCTATGATGTGCATGGACCACCAGGGGGCAGGTGCTCTGACTGGTAGGTTATCTTGCTGCTGAGGTCTGGACAATCAGGACTGAGTGAGATGGGCTGAACACACCCTGGAGCCCTCCCACAGTCCTTTCCCAACCGGCTGGCCCCAATCAGCCCACCCCAGATCGGCCCGATCAGGACTGGGCAAGACAGGGCCGGACATGCCTTGGAGCCCTCCTGCGGTCCCTCTCCAGCTCTGATTGTGCACTGGTGGGGTCCCTCGGCCTGACCTGCGGCCTCTCGCAATCCCGGACCCCTCAGGGGATGTTGGAGAGCCAGTTTCGATCTGATCCCGCAAGCCACTCCCTTTGGAGGGCGCCAGGCACAGGGCTCATTGCTGGCGAGCACCGCTGTGGCAGTGCAAACCTCTCCCAATTGGGACTGATTGGGCGTGAACCCAGGACAGGCGCAGTGGTGCCAGGATGAGTGGGAGCAGCAGGTAGGAGCTGCAGGCGGTGTTGGACTGTGGGTTTCGGCCCAATCCCCGCAGGCCACCTCAAGGAACCCCACCTGTGCACGAATTCATGCACCAGTCCTCTAGTTTATAATAAAGCTTTCAGTAATAGTTATAAATGTATTAATAATGAAAGTCCACTCACTCAGAGGAGACTGACTGCATTCTGTTAGAGGAAAGAGCCAGTCGTGTTTCCCGCAGCAGCAACCTCAGAAGTTATCTCTAAGGTGGAAGGTGGCAGTTTTAAAATCAAAGTGGCTACGGGCCTGCTTCCCTGCCCCCTGCCTTTCCATCAGCCTTCCACATGACAGGCGGGGGTATTCACCAGCCTCACATATAGTTTTACAAAGTCTTTAGTAACTTAAAACTTTAGAACATTGCTGAATTAAATAATAAAAATTATTAAATATCTAGGTATTTTAAAATGACTAAACACTGAAATATTAATCTGAGTTTGCCTCATATGAAAAATCTAAAAACATAGATTTGAATCTATTACTTAAATATGTCTTGTATTTTATTTAAAATATATCCTTAAAAATATAAATATATTACTAATCTAAGAAATGCTAAGTATTTAACTTGCCACCTAAAATTTGAGGCTTCTAAGAGTTTAAAGTTCATATTAAGTTGAGAGAAATTATATGATTGTGATAGCAAAATACATAAAATATAGTAATTCATCTTTGAGAAAAATAATTCTTGTATTTTCTTTAGAAAATTAGTAGTTCAAAATATATTGTAGTCCTTATATGTACTACGTGTGGTAAAATTTCAACCTAGGATATAATATTTTATTGGCCTGATTAAAAAAAAAGGATTAATTCTATGGTTTGAACCAAATTTTTAATATAAAAACCGTTTTAAATTTAATTGATATCTTTTAGAATAATTAGAAAGAGTGTTTAATATAATCTTTGGGTTATGTATATTTGATAGTCTTTCCAAGTTAAATTTCAAGACTTTAACGGAGAGATAGCTTTGGGACATTTTAAGGGCCCTGGAATGATTCACGGATTTATTCTCTCTTCTTAAAAGAAATATTTTTAAACCAAATTCTACTATACTTGAAATCACGTGGGAAGCTTTATCAAATAAAGATTAATAACTGTGTTCTATTTATATGCATACATTTTAAATGTTATAAGGCTTCAACCTCTAAGCTTGGCAGGACAAGGTTGCATACACAGTGCCTCAGACAGCCTGCTTTTCAGATAGGCTGTTGGGTAGGGTGGCATCTGTACTTCATAGGTCAAATGTATAGGTTTGCTTACTTTACTTTTTCAATAAAAATGCATGCTTTGATTACTTGATGGATTGGCTCTTTACAAAAAAATCAAGGTCTTTTATAAACTCATTTATATGGGAAGCCACTATTTTATGAGTAATTGGTTCTAACAAAGTCCAAAGTAAAATTTGCACACATATGCAAATGAGCACTAGCCGAAGAGAATGCTGTTTAAAAGTAAATTTTAGCTTAATAGAAGGAGAAATTTTAAAATCTTTTGTTACTATTTACAAAGTAAACTAAACGTCATTATTCAAGTATTAAATCTCACCATTAATGAGACACCATAAGTAAAAAGAGAGTTACTTTTACTTGAAATGTATGCATTGCAGTATTTGCTAGCATACCTCTCTCCTACTGTTTTTTCCTGAATAGCAACCAAGTTTGTTGCTCTGTTTAAAAGAAAGAAAAGGTGTTTAAAGGAAACTCCTTAACTGTGGCTTAGAGATCACTCTGGGAGGAAATACAGAGGAAAATGCTCTTTACATATCTAGGAACTGTAATTAAAAGTCAATATATTAAGCCTCAAAAGGTGGACATATGAAAAGGTTGCCTTAAAACTTTAAATGACTTTTAGAAATTATTAGAGAACATTAATTAGTTAAGACCTTATCTAAAAATCTCTATGGGAGCCCTAACAGTTTGGCTCAGTGGATAGAGCATCAGCCTGTGGACTGAAGGGTCCCAGGTTCGATTCTGATCAAGGGCATGTACCTTGGTTGCAGGCACATCCCCAGTAGGGTGTGTGCAAGAGACAGCTTATCGATGTTTCTCTCTCATTGATGTTTCTAACTCTCTATCTCTCTCCCTTCCTCTCTGTAAAAAAAATCAATAAAGAATATATTTAAAAAAAAATAAAAATCTCTATGGGAGAAATGACAAATTTATTCAATATACTAAGAAAGTTTTTATGAAGTATACATAAAGACCTACAGAATCATTTTCTAATTTCGTGGCTTGCATGTAACAGCAGCTTGCAACCATCTAGAAAATATAAATGCCAAGCGGTTTGGGGCCATCTAGTAAATCCTATCTTCCCTAAACCAAGGACACTTAAGAGTAAATAATTTGCATTTTCCCTCCCTAAAGAAAGTTTATGTCTATATACTCAAAAAGACTGATAACAAAAATCCAATTTCTATCATTTAGTGTCCACACCCAAGAACAAATGAAGTTAAAAAATAAACCTTATTTCAGACTGATTTAAAATGGCAAATTGAAATAAGTGAATATTTAGGGGAACTTAGTTGTCACCTACTAAAAAAACAAGTTACTACAATTTTTATATCACACCCCTATTATTATACCAAAAATACTATACAAGAACCTATTCCTGGAGCATTAACTAGTTTACTAATGGTTCATCTAATAGTAAAACTAGTTATCATGCAATGAATTCAGACTGAGTCATCCAGACCAGTCATACTTCTGTACAAACAATTGAATTAGAAGCTATCAAGGCTGCATTGCAGAATTTCCAAAAGCCTCTTAATATTATTTCTGATCTGTCTATGCTGCTGGCCTGGTAAACAGAATTGCAACTACTCAATTAAAATGGCTCAGTGACCAAAGTCTATATATACTATTTAAACAGGTCCTGGTCCTTTAACAAAAGGAAATGCATATGCTGATCAATTAGTTACTTTAGTAAATCAGGCCACAGAATCTCATCAGCTTTTACATCAGCCTGCCAAAATGTTGTCAAAAACAATTCTCATTAACGTGGCAGCAGGCAAAACAGATTATCAAGGAATATCCCTCTTTCATGTTCCCAATTTTAAAAACAAAAAGGGGGAATAGTGGAGAAATCTCCTGTAAGTAAACTACATCAAGCCTTAATTACTTAAAATCATTCACTTTAAATTTTTTCACTTGTAATGCTGATGGCAAGACACCCATACAATTACATTGGTGTCAGAATAAGCTAAAGGAAAATGGTCTGGTTAAATGGAAAGATCCCGAGTCTGGTTTATGGAAGGGTCCCTTTATTAACTTTTGGTCGAGGATATGCTTGTGTATTTCCAGAAAACTCCTCCAACTCTGTGTGGATTCCTGCAACAGGAATCCAAGAGAGGACCTTGCACCCTGAGCTTCACCCTGTACCAGTGGCTGCTGACAGTCCACTGCTCCAGCCACAGATAGCAGTGGCCCCGGGCAACATGCTGAAGATAAGGAATGGGAGGAGAACAAGAAAGAGGAGAAGCAGTCCAGAAATGACCTGGATGATGGTGAAGAAGTCTTGCCATGCTAGCAGTCATCAGTTGTGCGATGGTGCGGGTTGCCCTGAACAAAGCCAAAGAAGGTTGGACCTGCATTGTCATTGCCCACCGTTTGCCCACAATCCAGAACTTGAATATCATTGCTGTCATGTCACAGGGGATAGTAATTGGAAGGGGACCCATAAAGAACTAATGGCCCAGAAAGAAGCCTACTACAGACTAATTCCTTAAATGCCTGGCAGCAATTTAAAAAGGACATGAAAGAATTCTGTCTCATTCTTGTTCTTATATGTTTATTTCTAGTCTGCAGATGCGGAATGAAAAGTCTTAAAAGGACTCAAGCTCTGCAAATGGCATACACCTTTCTAAATTTATTAAGAAAACAAAAATGGAGAAATGCTGGAGGCTAAGACCAATATTTAGCATAATATTGCCCTGCTGTTGGCCAAATGGCTCAAGGCAATCCCCTAACCTGATAATCCTTTTACTGTTTACCAAACTTTACCTTTGATATGCCTGTATGCATTCCTAAAGGGCAAATGTGTATTCAAGTGAATAGAAGCAAATGGGACCCAGAAGTCAGAGAGCCTCTCCACTAGAGAAAAGTTTTTTGCCTGGCCCCCCCATGCCATCTAAATTCTTATTTCTTGTCTAGTGTATTCATTTGTGCACAGCCCCTTTTCCGGATCCTGAACCCTGGCCACAAATGAATGTAGCATTCACACTCACCTTTAGGGTGACTCAGCCAGAGCCTGTGACACAGGACACCTCTCCAAATGCACTTCTTGTGTCCTCTGTGTGGACAAAAAGGTGTGCAGTGATAAATCATAAACCCTTCCCAGGGCAGGTCATGGTGGGTAGCGATGGCCTGGTCCATGAAAGGTTTTTAAGCCAGCCCTGGCCAGTGTTGTTGTTCATTTAGGTCAGTGGTCGGCAAACTCATTAGTCAACAGAGCCAAATATCAACAGTACAATGATTGAAATTTCTTTTGAGAGCCAAATTTTTAAAACTTAAACTATATAGGTAGGTACATTGTTATTAACTTAATTAATAATTTTGGATTGAGTACTTAGTATTAACAACATGAGTTCAATACACTAATATATTTATGGAATGCCTATTATGTGTCTAAGGCTGGAGATAACATGACATCCTTCTGGAACTTACATTCTAGTGAGGAAGATCAACTTTAAATAAATGAGTAGTCACATCAAATAATTGCAGTTGTCATGAGTGCTAAGGAAGGAAACAGTAAGCCAGAGAAGTTATTTAGCAAGGTTAGGCATTTAAACCTCTCTAAGCAGATAAGTTTCATTTTATAATAATAAAGCCACCAACACAAAATAATTACAATTCTTAAATTGATGACAAAAATACCTGTAGGATTTGCAGCTGGTTGGAAAAATACAGGTAACTTTATGCTTCAAGTAGGTACTTTTGTCACCCACGGGCGATTTTCGGACGCGACTAGCACTAACCACTGCACAATGAGACTGCTGACTGACTGGCTCACTCCACTCCTGCATGAATTGCTCGTGCCTCCCCTGCACTGTGTATCCTGCAGCCCGCCAGCGCCATGTCTCCCATCGCCCAACCGACCAACACCCCCCCACTTCTTCTAACGCCACTTCTTCAAAATACACTCGCCCAGGCCGAAAACTGACTTCTGCGCATGGGCCACGAAGTTTAAATCGCACTCTATGTGCAAGCCCGCACGTGGTATTTTGTGGAAGAGCCACACTCAAGGGGCCAAAGAGCCGCAAGTGGCTTGCGAGCCGCGGTTTGCCGACCACTGGTCTAGGTTAACACACCTTCGAAATACCACAGTGACCCTCTTTTTCATTCCCTCCAAGGTGTAACTATCCTCAAGGGAGCACACAATCTTATCAATGGTGCATTGGCCCTTGCTTTCTTGCATCTTCATGTCATCTTTCTCAACTCCAAATGCATAACTGAGACTACAAACTGTCATTCTCAGGAGGACTTGAGATCCTGCTTCCTGTCACTTGTCATCAGTTTTGGCTCAAATAAACTCTAATGAAAATTATCTATAGGTTTGGATGTTTCTTATGTTGACATGGGTATTAATAGTAGAGCTATATTGTTGATACACCAGAATTTTTTTCATTCTAAAATTTGAAATGCAGTGCAGAAGTTCTAAGAGTGGGCTCTGGGGTCAGGCTGCCTGGGTTCAAGAGCTACATGTCCCGCCAGTAGGACCAGCTGTGTGACCTTGGGCAGGTTGCTTAAACTCTCTGGGCTTCCATTTTCTCAACTGTACAATGGAAATAAACAACCACGGTACCTAGTTCCTAGGGCTTTGAGGGAAATCAATTGGTCAGTAGAATAATGTGTTTAGAACTGTGCTTACCTTCTAGGAAGCACTCAATAATCCCAAGCTACTCTTCTTTTTTAAAAAAATTTTTTTTATTGATTTCAGAGAGGAAGAGAGAGATAGAAATAACAATGATGAGAATCATTGATTGGATGCCTCCTGCACACCCCCTACAAGGATCAAGCCTGCCACCCGGCCATATACCCCGACCAGGAATCAAACTATGACCTCCTGGTTCATAGGTTGACACTCAACCACTGAGCCACCACGGCCGGTGCTACTCTTCTTTTTAAAAGCCAACCTTCTGGAGACGCTCAGTGGAACCAGAAGATTTTAAATTTGAGCAGCATAGACGGATTCGACTGAGATTAGGCTGTAGACTATGGCTGAGTGAGGACCAGTTGGCCAGTGCTGCCCGGCTGCTTTGTGTCCTTGGTGGGGCGCTCAGGTTGTGGCTGATTGACCATCTGTGACTCCTAGGAGGGCACTTCAGGGTGTGGCCATCCCCGGTGGTGGTATAGGGAGATGTCCTTTTCCCTTCTATTTTGTGGGTGGGTGTGGTCAGGGTCTTCACTCATAGCCCATCCCCCAGAGCAGCCAATCAGTCCCTGTGCCTGGTCCTGTCCCCCTGGCCCTGGTGTAAGGTCGGGGACTCACCTGACTTTGTGCTGTCCAGCCTGAAGGGATGGGTGAGACACAGCAGCCCTGGGGGAAGCCAGAGATCACAGAAGGCTATGGGGTGAGCTCTTGTTTTACCATTACATTTTGGGTCAACATCTTTTTAAAGTAGACTTTACTTTTTAGAGCAGTTCTAGGTTCACAACAAAATTGAGCCAAGGCACAAAGACTCCCCATCTGCCCTCTGCCCCGCCCCCCGTACAGTCTCCCCCATTTTCAACACTCCTCACCAGAGTGGTGCATTTGTTACGATTAGTGAACCTACACTGACACATCATTTGCACCCTCAGTCCATAGTTTACTCTTGGTGCTGTACATTCTATGGTTTGGACAGATGTGTTGTGACATGTAATCGCCATTGCTAATCCTACGGAGTAGTTTCACTGCCCTAAAAATCCTCTGTGCTCAGCTACTCAGCCCTCCCCACCCCAACCCCTGATCTTTTACCATCTCCATAATTTTTTGCCTTTCCCAGAATGTCATAAGGTTGGGCTCACCTGTCTGTAGCCATTTCAGACTGGCTTCGTTCACTCAGGAATATGTATTTAAGTTCCTAATGACTTTTCCTGGCTGGGCCCTCATTTTTAGAACTGCTTATCCCCAAATGCCTTTCTGCTCTGTAGAAGAGGGAGGTGACTTGCTGTCCCTTTAAGCTTATCCTCCCCAGCACAGTACTCTGTGTGGTGTCCCAGGGGGCAGCTGGGGTGTGGACTGTGGCATTGAACCACGAGAGGGGAGAACGTGGCTGCCAGAGTGCTCTGCTCCTCTCTGCCTGAGAACAGCATCCAGCTTCCCACTGAGCCTTTACCATCTCGCCTCTGGGAGGTTGCCCCTGGCTTTCTGGGCCTCTCGGGTCTTCATTTCTCCTGGCCCCTCACTCCAGGCCTCGCTTCCCTCCCCTACTAGTCATCCCCTTCTCAACTCTCCCGATGGCCCATCAGAACATACCTGTGTGCTCTGCTCCTCTCCCCTCTGCAGTCAGCCTTTGTCTGAGCTCTTTCTGGACCTTTATTGCTCTGTTGGTCCCGCCCTATTGGGAGGGACAGGGCGAGGGCTGGGTCAACCAAGGTGGGGACCAACGTAGGGCTCAGGGGCTCCCAGAGGGCAGGGGTGGTGGCCGAGGATGGGCACGAGTGGGGCTCTGTAGCCAGGGGGTTCTGTTGCCCCTACAAGTACCCAAGTTTGGAAATGCCCCAGGCCTCCACCACTTAAGCTTGGGGTTCACTTCTGTTTCTCCCAACACCCGTGCCCTAGTTGTCTGTTTCCTTTCATTCCTCCTGCCACAGGGCACCATCCACAGGAGCTGTCTATGGTGTCGTATTCCCTGTTGGGAGCAATGCGAGCTGTGTGATGCCATAATTTATTAAAGTAAATGCTGAGTTTCAGAGGCCAGAGATAAAGACAAGAGGAAATTTACCAACAAGCAGTCTCAGCTGAAGCGAATGGATGGACAAAGGCGGAGGCTGATAGAGTCGGACACCAACAATAAAAATAGGGAACCTGACCCACGTCTAGGATGGGGAGCCAGAGCCTGAGCCAGAGCCAGAGCCAGAGCAGCACAGGGAGCTTGAAGCCACTGATATGAGACTCTAGAAGAAGTCTTCTTTGCATCCCGGAGACCCTGAAAGGATGCAGAAGGAAGGGAAGGATTGGCTGGGAGAAAGTCCTCAGGATGGCTGTAGCCAGGGCCCAGAGAAGGGAGAAGGGACAGGGGCTGGGTGGTGGGGGAGGGACCTGTGCAGGGAGGGAACAGAGAAAGGAGAAGGGACGGGGGTGGGGGGAGGCACCTGTGCAGGGAGGGGACACAGTACTAAGATGGCTTAGTTAGATGACAAGGGCAAGCTTGGGCTTGATAGAAAGAACCAACAGGTCTTTATCTTCTTAATCACCAAGACTTGAGTGCTTATTTTTTATTGTTATACTAGAGGCCTGCTGCATGAATTTGTCCACAGGTTGGGTTCGGACAGCCTGCCCAGATCAGGCCTGGTTGGGTCTGGCTGGCCGGGAGGGAGAGGCCTCGGACAGTTGGCCAGCCAGCCGCGCCCCCTGTTCAAACTTCTGGTTGAACTCCCAGTTAAGGGGGCAATTTGAATATTAGCCTTTTATTATATAGGACTAGACGCCCGGTGCACGAAATTCATGCATGGGAGGGGGTCCCTCAGCCCGGCCTGCACCCTTTTGCAATCTGAGACCCCTAGGGGTATATCCGACTGCCGGGATCGGGCCTAAACCGGCAGTCAGACATCCCTCCCACAATCTGGGACCGCTGGCTCCTTACTACTTGCCTGCCTGCCTGCCTGATTGCCCACTGCATCTGCCTTCCTGCCTGGTCCCTCCTATCCCCTTTTTCTTCCTAATCACCCCTAACCACTCGCCTGCCAGCCTGATCGCCCCTAACTGCCTCTGTCTTGGCCCTCGCACCCGGGACGCAGGCTTCCCTCTCTCTGGTTGGCCGCAGGCACCCGGAACCCAGGCTTCCATCCCTCTGGCCAGCTGCAGCCACCTGAGACCTGGGCCGGGACTGCCTGGGCTGGCCACAAGCACCCAGGACCCCAGGAGGCGCTGCCTGGGCCCTGGCTTTGTCAGAAAGGATATTGGGAAGGTTTGCCAGAAGATGTCTATTCTATCTGGTCTAATTAGCATCTTATCCTTTTATTAGTATAGATGACTTTTGTATTTATTTTGTCTTCTTTTTAAAATCTGCATCAAGGATGTTTTTAGTGATTTTGGAGACAAAGGAAGGGAGAGAGAGAGACAGAGAGAAACATTGATGTGAGAGAAACATCTATCTGTTGCCTCCCTTACCTGCCCTGACTGGGTGCTGAACCTGCAACCTAGGTATGTGCCCTGGCCAAGAATCAAACCGGCAACCTTTGATGTACCGGAGGATGCACCAACCAACCAAACCATCTGGCCAGGGCTGACTTTTGTATTTGTCATCATTAACATCCTGCTACTTTCACTTCAAGTGATTTCAGTATTTATTGGCAGCTAGATAAAGGAAGGAGAAAATAGTTAGTTAACCTGATACTTGTTTGCAATTCCAGAAGGCAATTAGCTTTAAATGCATAAAGGATGATTGATATAGTGACTTCACTTATGTCTTTCACCTTCAGTCATGGGTTCACCATGGAGACTTGAGGAGGTTTGCATTCTAAGAGAGTTGTAGGAACAACCTGATGTTGAGAAGTGCGACCTGTTCCTATTCTACAAAGGACTGTAGGGAGCGACTGTAGAGTCAAGCCTCGGACTGACCTGTGGCAGAGCCACATACAAGTCCCAGCTTGGAGGGCAGAGCCCTTCTAGCGTAATTAAGCTTGACCTTATAGTCCTCACTTGTTCCTAGGTACCTAATGGGCTGTGGGAGGTGCAGCAAGTGCTGCTAATACAAGGTGAAACTGGCAAGAAACATGTTGACCACTCCCCTTGTTTTGGTTTGTGTGCTCTGACTATAAAATAAAGCTTTGGCTTACAAGCTGTGTCACTGTTTCCTCATCCAGGCACAGTGATTCTACCTAGTCCCAACTGTATTCTCTTGTCTATTTTCTTTAATCCTTCACCGCCCCTCCTCAGGTTCACCCCTGGCCATGCTGAACACAGCTCATGTGGCGCCCGAACATGGGGCCTGAGTAAAGGGGAACTACAATTGTAAGGTGAAAGGATGATCCAGTGAAGCACTCACAGAAAATCCATGTAATGTAGGGAGCGAGGTTTTGTAGCAGCTGGGTGTAAAACATGGGAAATTCAGGATCTCAGGAAAGGGATCTCTAAAACAATGCTCAAAGAAGTGTAGTCAAATTCTCAAATTTCTTAAGTTGAGTCTAAGAACTGTAAAGCACAAAATGGAAGTCCTGATAGTGATGCTTAAAGCTAAGCCAGGGCATTTTGCTAAGGACTGTAAAGCTAAAAATGGAAGTCAGAAGGACTGAAATGTAAATAGTGAAGGTACTAACTGAGATATTGCTTAGAAGATACAGATTAAGTAGAAAACTAGAAGTAGAAGATAGCACAGGAACAAAAACAAGAAATAAATTAAATTTTTAATAATTTATGTGCTCATGGGCACTGGACCTCATGGGGCTTTGCAGGTTCAGTGAAAGTGTAAAATTTATAAAGGTTGCAAACCAGGGAAGTTTAAGCAAAGGCCAGCCAGGCCTACCTATAATTAACAAACCATTATTTTCACCACCTGAGACAAAGCAGGAGGGGAAGGAAAAAATTTAAATTGGATATATTTGACAGCTTTTCCAAATGTAATATTTCAAGCATTTAGCTTTGAGACATCTCAAGGGCCCTGAGGTGACAGAAAGATCTACTCTCTACAAAAACAAAAAGGGGGAGAAGGATGTTATGTGCTAAATTTTTGAATTATGATGCAGAGGGTTGTACAGCAGCCGAAAGGCATCGGACCTCCAGTACAATAGCCTCTGCTGAGGTAGCCCGGTGGAAGGATGCACAAACTGGACAATGGTTTGGACCAGATCCAGTAATGATGTGGGGCAGAGGTTGTGTTTGTGTCTTTCCAGAAGGAGCAGTACAGCCAATATGGGTGCCAGAGCGTACGTGCATCACCATGATAGGCCCAGAGAAGCTCCTTGTCCCTCTGTTCAAAAAAATGAGAGTTGCCCAGATGATAGCGTTGCGGAAGAAAAAAATAACGATGTTACGCAAGGGGCCAAGGTGCCAACATGGGATCAGCTGAAGAAGGTAAGGACTGAGGCCCAGCAGATGGTAGAAAAGCAAGGAGTGGAAGCTACTCCCTCAGCCTTGTTTCTTAATAGTGTTGGTGAGCTGCCAATTTTCTGTAAAGTCTTGCACAGCCAAATCTGAGTACTCTGAGTAGATATACACCAGCAGCAAAATAAACGTTCATTTTGTAGAAATAGTCCTAAAAATGTTAAAATGTCTGTAGTTTGGTTTCTCTCTTGTTGCTGTATTGCATTGGCATTGTTTTGTTATTGTTTTATTAATAGCCAGACTTTTGTTCTTGATATTCAAGTTTTATGTTTATTGTAGTAACTTAAAAATTTTTAGAATTCCTAACTTTGGAATAATCCTTATAATTCCAAGTGATTATAATGAATAAAGTAAATGTAAGTAAATAAAAACAAAAAAGGGGGGAGATGTAGGGAGTGGCTTTAGGGTCAAGCCTCTAACTGACCTGTGGCAGAGCCACATACAAGCTTGACCTTATAGTCCTCCTTTGTTCCTAGGTACCTAATGGGCTGTGGGAGGTCCAGCAAGTGCTGCTAAAAGAAGGCTTGAGTAAGGAAATAGATTGGAAACTCGCAAGAACATTCATTTAAACATGTTGTCCACTCCCCTTGTTTTGCTTTGTGTGATCTGACTATAAAATAAAGCTTCGGCTTACAGGCTGTGTCACTGTTTCCTCATCCAGGCAGTGATCCACCTTGTTGCAACTGTATTCTCTTGTCTGTCTTCTTTAATCCTTCACCGCCCCTCCTCAGGTTCACTCCTGGCAGTGCTGGAGGAGGTTCACTAGCTAATGTTGAAGACACTCCTTTTAACTCAAGGAAAATATGATCAGAAAAAAAAAATTGTTAAAGCACAGTGACCGGCTTCTTCAGTAATACTGAAGGTGAAAACTAAGCAGTTTCAAAGCAAAGTACACTTCTGGCTCCTCTTTACAAGAAGTTATTGTTCACTTATCCCCTAACCCTTTTCGTTGGGGAAGATGAGATGTTTTTGCCCTAATGCTGAAAGATTTGCTATTTCCCTTTCCTTTTATGAACATTTATGATCCTTTGTTTTTTAATGGTTTCAAAGCTTTGATACAATGTTAGGATGATTTAACAATTTAAAAAAAAATCACCAAGATAAAATTTGTTGATGTTTTAAATATTGTATCAGTTGTTATAAAAGTGCTTTGTCCACATCCCAGAATGTTTACCTTAATAGTGGGAAGATAAAAGGTTTGAGGTTCATCGTCCTACTGTCCTACAAGTGAAA